CATTCGATTAAAGTATATGAATTTACTTTAGATAATAGTAAAAGCAAAATTAAAAATATTTTTGTATTCATTTTTTTTTATTGTAATGATAATATAAATAACATTATTTTATAAATTTAATTAATTATTAATAGTGATTAATAATTATAAATATAATGAATTATTTTATTTTATTAATTTTAATATATAATTCAAATGAATAAAAATATTATATTATTTTTTATATTGATATTATTAATTTTTCCATATGAATCATTATCACGAAAAACACCAAAAGGAAAAGCAAAACAAAGAATTATTGAAACACCTGATGAAGATCCAGAACCAGTTATTCCACAACGAATAGTTTTAGATACTCTTGTTACATATGATTACAAAAAGAAGAAATATGTACCGATTCTAACTAAAAATGGTGAAATTACTAAAAGATATCCAGGAGGAATATTTGTACAACATTTATATGGCGGACATTTAGAACCAAGATATGTACCTGTACACCGATTACCAGATAATTATTTAACTTATTGATTTATTTAAAATATAGTAATTTAAACATATAAAATAATAAAAAATCATATATTATATTTAAATTAAAATTATTCAATATTTTTAACAGAATAATATAAATTTAAAGTATTCAAAATAGTTTTAGCTTCTGGTCTATAATATGGTTCATAATCCCAACATTCTTTATATAATTTAACATAAAACTCAGGAGTATTTTCATTTGGTTTTTCTCTTTTTCCTTTATAAACATGAATAATAATTGCATCTGGAGAATTAAAATTTTGATAAGGAGGTTTTCCAGAAGAAATTTCCCAAAAAATAACACCAAGACTATAAATATCAGATTTTTTATTTAATTGATATTCAGAATTTTTAAAACACTGAGGATCAACATATGCTGGCATTCCATAATTATAATTTTTAAAATTTTTAGAATCAAATATAGTTTTCGATAAGCCAAAATCAGCTATTTTCATATGTCCATCATGAACTAGAATGTTTTTCGAATGCTTTATTAATATAATAAAAAATTAGTATTTTTTTTTTTTTAAATTAATATATTAAATATTTTAACATACCAAATCTTGATGTATAATATTATTATTATGTAAAAAATTAAGTCCATTAGTAATTTCAATAGAAATTAATAATTTATCATTAAAATTTAATTTATTATAATTATTTTTTAAATATTCTCGTAAATTTCCATTATTTGCATATTCCAAAATCATATTGTAATTATTGTTATGATCTAGTAATAATAAAACAATCAGAAATTTTATTTAATATTAAAGATAAAATAATTAATAAAAGTTACCTTTAGTAATACCATAAAAACAATTAATATTTGGATGTACTCCAGCTTTTTTTATTAATTTAAGCTAAATAAAATATTAATTAAAATATAATAAATTGATAAATATGATATTTATAATAACAAACCTCATTTATAAAATCTTCAGAGATTTTATTTAAATTTGTATTTAATTTTAAACTTTTTAAAACAACATTCAATGAATATTTTTGCCATTTCATTTTTCGTATAATACCAAAAGCACCTTCAGATATTTTTTCTTCATTGATAAATTCATCATAATCATATGAATTAATAAATTCTTCAGAAATAGCTTTTTCAAACCATTCAATAGAATTCATTTTATTTTTTTATTTTTTATCATAATTCAACTGATAATTATATTATTTTTAGTATTATTAATATTATTAATAATTTATTTAATATTTAAAAATATACAAATGATAGATAAAATAATAATTTAATATTGTATCACATATTATAATATCCTATTTTTTTTTACTATCATTATAGAATTTACATTTCTGATATAAAAAAAATTGAATTATATCATTTTTTTTTAATTAATAATAATACTAATTTATTAATAAATAAAATATAATTTAATCAAATCAATTGTTAAAACAATTGTTAAAATCTTCTGTTTGAAAAACAATATTATTGTTATAATAGATTTTTACTGTTTTCACATCTTCATTTAACAACATATATTCAGAATCATCTTGAATAAAAAAGGATTTATCATTATTATTGGTAG